ATTTTGGTTACTTTTTTCGCTATCTTTCATTTTTTCAATTCCTTACAAGGTATGTTTGTCCCACTGCGCAGTATAGTTCTACAGCGCCGTGCGGGTCACGGAGTACGAATAAAGTAACAGTCAGTATGACCGGCGGCGAGAAAAAGTAGTTTGAATATGACTATACGTTGAGGTCACCGGTGACCCCCATGGCGCTATGATAGAGGAAGGGTGAGGTCATCGGTGACCCCCATGGCGTTTAGCGTGTTAAATGAACTCAATCATGTGACTGTCCACAGGTATAATAAAAAACATGATATTAAAAAAAAGAATGAGGTCCTATTCTAAAATATTAAATATAGAATTCGAAAATTTTCAGAATAACAGCCGGTGAAGAGAATGTCCTATTTCATTTTGTACAACTGGAATCAGAGAAAGCAGTTTTGATAGCGCCAATGAAAACTATCGAAATGCAAGCGAACAATGTTTTATATTCTTACATTGTTGCTACTTTTAGGAAGTCTTGTAAGAAGATACACGAGTTACTGCAATATAGTATGAAGTAAGTTTATAGACTCCGTCCGCGCAGTATTAAAAAAATCATAATAAGTAGACTATGTTTCCTTTCAGACTATGTTCCACATCTGTACCAAATTTCATCAAGATCCGTTGAGCCGTTCAGAAAATAACTTGTAGCAAACATCCGTCCATGTAAACATTCGCATAAGTAAGATTTTTTTATTCTGTCTTGTTTTAATTATTTACTCTTATTTACTATAATTTTTATTAATCTTATGTAAACTTACAATTGAACATGGACACTATAATACAATGTTATTTTGATTTTTTTCCACAGATTTAAAAAGAACCATGCGCCATCAAATCCGTTAAATAAAATCCTAGTGGCAGTCAGAGAGTATGGCAGCTTGTTTGAAGTACCTCCTGATGTTCTCATTCAGTGTGGCATCAATAAAAAAAATTGTGAACCCTTTCTGTTTTGGGTTGTCGGGTAGGAATTGTCTTCTATTATTATTATCAGACTAGGAAGAGGAAGCATATGTACGACTTAGGCGTTTTTATTTTTAATATATTTTTTAATGAAATGCTTAACATTTAATGTCTTGTCCCAGTGTTTATAACTTTTCTTTCATCATCATTTAAATTATAAGAATAAGCTTTACAGATATAATTAACTACAAAGGAAGAACATTGTATGAACAACTTATCAATTTTTAATACTTTCTGTTTTTAGGTGTGAAACAAGTATAAAGCAGTAGAAAACATAACCAATGGATTCACAGAAATAGAATTTGAATAAAGATAAAATTTTACATTCTATTCATATTTAAAAGAACTAAGTGATGAACTAGAACTTATGACCTTTTGCCGATTGCTGAAAAGTAAATTTACAACAAAAATTGATGAAAATAACATAAAACAAAAATATGCCGAATTCTACTTGGTAAGTGGTAAATATTAAGTATTAATAATAATTCCCAAAGCACATATTTCCAGCAATTATTTGAACAATTTTAACCTTTTAAATTGGCTTGATATTTAGTATAAAATGGTTTGCTCAAAACATGAGAAAGATTCAAAAATAAAAATCAACTTAAACATTATTTAGGTTGTGTGTAGAATATCTCTCTATTATTGTTTCAAATATTGTAGATCAAACTGTAAATTGGTCATATCATGACAAGTTTTTCAAACTAATTTAATTTATGATTCTATCATAGACATTTCACAAAAATGGGCAGGCAATAAAAGTTCCTATAAAAACCTGTAAAAACTAATCATCATTTTTACATGGTTTGTGAGTTCCATCATTGT